TATTTTTTCATATATGCATTAAGAGTAGGTAGTAGGTTAATATTTTTGTTAATATAAATACTTGCATTAATTGGTAGTTTGCAAATATTTTGATGATTGGGAATTGGGATAATTGCATGGAAAGTATGTATGTATGAGGGTAATTTGTAAAAAAATAATAATTAGTTTAATCAAGAAAATAATTAAAAACGTAACCATGAGAAGAGAACGGATGGAGCACGATTTTAATTTAGAAATCATCAAAACGTAAGTACGTAACCTTTTTCTTTATTTTAGGAACGAATGGGATGGAGTACAATTTTCTTTATGCCAACTAAACATGATTATAGTATTTCCTATAACTTCGAGTATCGTTATTTATCATGTACAAGTATATATGTAGTAATATCATAGGAAAAATTGGTTTTATATCATATATTATAAATAATCTCAACTTTTGTTTTTTTTTTTAACATTGGGAGACATTCTCTTCATTTTAACAGGCCAAATGAACAGTGACTTGATTAAAAGGTCATTTTTTAATTTCTTTCTTAATTGCCACATGTCGCAGTCTCATTAGTAAAATTTAAATTTTTTTTAAAAAAACTGAAACTACCCGGCCCCCAGCCTTCCCTCGTCCCCAAAAGGCCAACCGCAGCTCTTCCACCCGTGAAAACTACTCCCCCCCCCCCTCCCTTCCTCACCCCGTAAAATGCCCTGATTGGTCCAAAATCAAAACTAAAGAGATAGTGAAACTCAGAAAGGTGTGGAGAGATCGAGAGATAGACATGTGGGGTTTATTACTTTATTTGTTGGGTGTGGTCTGTGGTGGTTTAGCAAATTTAGAGGGAAAAGTGGTGTGGAGAAAGCGAGGAAAAGAGGAGTTTTGGGAAGGGGGAGAGAAGAAGAAACAATTGTTAATGGCATTTTTTTTGATGAACATGAGTTAACGGAATCTCTCTACGGAATACGACTTGACGACAAGGGCGTTTTATGGGAAGGCTGGGGGTTGGGTTTTCGGCCGGGGAAGGGGAGGGGGTGGGGTCATGGGGTGTTTTCCGGTGGGGGCCGGGTAGTTTCAGTACATTTTTTTTGGATTTGGACCAATCAGGACTTAACACGTGTCAAGTAACATATTATAATAGGTCGTTGACTTTTGTTGGTTGGTTATGACCCAATAGAAGAAAACGCTCCCAAAAGTTGGGATTATTAAAAAAAAAAATCAATAGTTAGAATTAATTAAAAGTAAATAGCCCAAATTTGAAATTAATATTACCAATTTTTCCAATATCATATGCAAAAAATTATGCAGACGATTTTATTATTGGTGGAAATTGTGATGGGCCTAGAATCCTCTGGAATATTTTGGATACGGCGTATCATGATTCATGACTGAGTGGAAAAAATGGAAAGGAATCAAAACACTCCATCATGCAATGGACCAAATGACCAATGAGAGACGTTTGCTAGTTGAATCTCTTTTCCATTTTTGTTTTATTTATTTATTTATTTTTTTCTTTTGGAAATGGAATTTGCTAAAGCATTTTATGTTTGTTCTTTTTTGGCCACAACCAACTGACCCAAGTGCAATTTTGACAACACATTTATTAAATATACATTTTTTCTCTTTTAAATTTTGTTTGGAAACTTTTGGTGAATGAGTAAAAATTTGAGGAATACACATATGTGCCGTAAGAGAGAAAAAAAAAAACTTTGTATTTTTCAAAATCTATTAATTATCACTAAAATAAAACATTGATAACATCATCAACCCTCAAAATATCTTACGTGTCATTCTCAAAATCTGTTAATTATCAATAAAACAAAACATTGCTGACATCATCAACCCTCAAACTATCCTACGTGTCATTCTTACATTAAAATTTCCCCTCCAATTCTATGTGTGATTCATCAATTATTAATGATTTTTATTTTTATTTTTAATCTACATTGTTGACTTCAATGTATAAGTGTCTCTATAAAATTCAATTAACCAAGTTTCTCTCCTAAATTATAGTTTCACATACCTAATTTGTTTGATGTTTGATTGTGGTATCAATTTTTTTTCAATTTCCGTAAATGTAAATTATTTTTCTATCTCATCTAATCTTCATATACAATGTATTGCAAATTACAAGAAAGATTAATATAATGGTTTTTTCACCAAATACCCCTAAATTTTAACTTTATTCGCCAAGTACCCATGAGATTTTTCAAATTCACCATATACCATTCACTTTCATGAAAATGTCACAACATGCCCTTTCCGTTAAGTCTGTTAGTCATTAACGTTAATTCTGCCACGTGGTACCTTGTAATTGGTTTTTTTAATATTATTTGTTTAATTATTTAATTAATTAACTTAAATTTTTTTAAAAAAAACCTCCACCAGCCTAGACACCGCCGCCTCCAGCCCAGCCTGACCCCTACACTCAGCTGGCTGATGCCCAACCAAAATCGCCTTCACAACGCACAAATCCCACAAAACCCCACGCTCCTCTACCAATCCAGCGCACAAATCCGATCAGCGGGTCGAACACAATAAACCACCAGTTATACCTTGCAACACCAGTAGCCGCCCCTCTAAAACAACCAACGTTCACCGCAACAACCCTTCTCCTGTTCGCCGGTCCCTTCCCTCCCTAAAATGACCCCCTTCCTTGTTCGACGGCCCCCAAAACCCTAGCTAAACCCCACTCGAAACTACCCCAAAAACCAAACCTGTTTTCTAGGTTGTTTAAAAACCCTAAATGGGTTGGTTTTAGGGGTGGTTTTGGGTGGGGTTAAGGGTTTTAGGGGCTGACGAAAAGGGGAGGGGGGTTGTTTTGGGGAGGTAATGCCATTTTCGAGGTGGGGGAATTGGTTGGAGGGTGGTGTCGGGGTGGGGGAAATTTGGGATGGGGTGTTCTGGGGAAATTGATTCTGGGAAGGATTTGTCGCCGGCGTGGGAGGGGTGATGGGCGTCGGCCTGCCGGGAATTGGGCCAGCTAGGCGCCAGCCAACTGCGGGTGGGGGTTAGGCTCGGCTAGGGGTGGCGGTAGCTGGGTTGGTGGTGTTTTAATTTTTTATTTTCTTAATTTTTTAAAAGTTTTTTAATTAATTATTTAAATAATTAATTAAATAATATTAAAAAAAAACCAATCATAAACTGCCATGTGGCACAACTAACCTTAATGACTAACGGAGTTAACGCCGTCAGTCATTAAGGGCATGTTGTGACATTTTTCGTGAAACTGAATGGTATGTATATGGTGAATTTGAAAATTTCGTGGGTATTTGATGAATAAAGTTAAAACTCAGGGGTATGGTGAAAAAAACCGTTAATTTAATCGTGAGGGATAACCTAGTTTTAAAATATGTGTTGCAAAATGCAAATTGTGAAAAGCCAAATCAATACATTAAACAATTACACAATTTCTTATATGTGGTTGGTCATATGGTATGGTCAACTATCATGGGGTTACTTCATTAGTGTTATAGGGGTTACTCGATCAGTGTTACAGGGATTACTTCGTCAGTGTTATAGGGGTTACTCGGTCAGTATTACATGGTTACTCGATCAGTATTATAGGTGGTTACTTTTTTTTTTTTTTTTAAAAGTGGCCACATAATGTGGTCAGCCGCACACAAGATGGGCTGAAAAAATTAAAATTGATATATGAAAATAAATAAAAAAAACGTAGTAAAATATTGGTTTTCATTCACATTTATTAATAACAAAGATATGGACTCCCTTTGTGTGTGTGTTTTTTTATTTTTATTTTTAATAATCTTCTTACTTTTTGTTTAGACATATTTTTATTTATCTTACTACTTTTGCTTTATTCCTCACTTTTATGGTTAAAAAAAAATATTCTCAATTTTATCCCTCCTTACCCTACACATAATCAACTAACGTTACACTTTACAAGCAAAATTAATATCTCTACACAACTTTCTTTAATTTTTTCTTTTCCAAAAAGTCGTAAAAATAACCTACTTCCACTATCTCCTTTATTTTTCTTACTAGAATACGTGGGAAGTTTTTTTTTTTTTTTTTTTTTTTTTTTTTTTTTTTTTTTTAACAGAATGGAGGGAGTTAACTATTGATTGCACCTCATTAATTTTAACGATGTATTGTGCAAACTCCAAACTAAAAGTGATATTCTTTTTGTTTTATTACAAGTGCTCTTGTTACCGGTACATATATAATTTTGAACTTCGATTATAATAATTCATGAGTATCCAAAGTTGACGAAGTTGAGTCAAGCTAGACTAAACAATTTTCAATCTAATTTTGAAATTGGCTTGAACTCAATACTCTCCAACCTCAACCCAATCCAGCTGACCCATTTGATAATTTTTTTATTTTTTATTTTTTATTTTTTTATTTTTTTATAAAATAGAATCCCCTTGATACATTTATTACTCATACAAACCATATAACATGTTTATTAGAGGATGCTTGGTTCACAAATTATAAGTGTTTAGAATGAGTTAAACCTACCATGTGTTTTATTGATAATTTAAAAAAATTTAAACCTCATACCTTAGACCCTAATATCTCTTTTTTTTTTTTTAGGTTTCTAGAGTTACTACGTAGGTTAGTTTAGCTCATATACATATTTTAACAATATTAAAAAATAAAATATTCAAGAGTTGAACCAAATACATAATGTTACAAATAAAGTTTCAACACTATATCATCATGAATTTCATTCTCGTTTTTCATCCACAATACAACTCAAACGCCCTACTAAAGGTAAGGCCTTGATATTTTAAAGGTAAGGGCGTTGGATAACCCTTTAAAATATTTCCTAAGTAGGTATTAATTTTGGAATGCATGTCAAAATTACGCGTAAATCGGTGTAATTAATGTATATTTCAAGTTAATATTTCTACTTTTAATTATCTCATCTAACGCCCCTGAAACGTTCATTAGCTTTTGCCTATTTTAAATAATAAGCCGACCTGATTAAAGCGGAAAATAAGTCCAAAAGAACATGACACTTGTAAATAATCAAAATGGATCAATGGCTACTGTGAAATGTGAATATTGAACCAACTACCATTCCTCTATTTCGTGGAAAAACCGAGAAAGGAAAGGCGTACTCCTAACTCGTTGGCGAGGGTCATTAAGAAAAATGACAAAAATGCCCCTTTTTCGCCCTCGGACCACCCTCCCACTAATTCCCCTCTTTCGCCCCTCTTCCAATTCCTCTAGGGCTAGCCAAAATCTTGTAGCAGGAAAGAGAAAAAAAACTTAATTTTGATTTTGAGTGATTGATTTTATTATTGGGAATTATTATACAAAATTATTTCTTGAATAGAGACCCAAAAAAAAAAAAAAATTAATAATAATGAAAGAGATTGGAGATATAATTCCTCAGCAATGGACATCACCTTGCTGCACCCAATGCACCCACAAATTTGCTGCTCTTACCCAGATTCCCTGTAATTCCATTTCTCCTTTTATTTTTTTCTCTTCAATTTAGTTAATTTCTTTTAATCTTTGATTAATTTTTGTATTCTTGTTCTTTATTTTGTTTCACTACTTGATTTTTTATGAGATAAATTATTAAATCATTTTGTTGTTTACTAGGATATTTTTTGTGGGTTTTAGATTATCATGACAAAACTGTGGTTAAAATTTCATGTTCTGTTATAACTTATAATAGTCATGCTTTGGTGATTATTAAAGTTATTGCTCATCTATTGAAATTGGGTTAAATTTGTATCCACATTATCAATTGTTAGCTGGAAGCAGCTTAGTTTTTGTTCTGGTTAGCTTATTTGGTTGAATTACATGTATTGAGAGTAAATGTTCTTGAATGATCAATATTGAAAAATCGAAGATAGGTAATCCTTTGTCGAATACGTGTGTGCTATGTTACTCGGACGTGGAAACTCACATTAGACATGGGTATGTGTCCAAGTGCTGGACTTGATTATATTATGAGAACTTTTGATTTTATTGATCCAATAGGAAGTGTCGAAATGCCCATGTACTTGAGGTAAATTGAGTATCCGAGTAACATAATGTGGATGCGAGGTATTGGTTTTGTTTTAGGATCTTGTACCATAGATATGGTTTTGAAACCTGCGGGTTAATCTGCTCATGTGCCATTACGGTTCCTCATGAACCCTATATGAGAAAATTATCCTGTCAAATACAGAATTATTCTTCCTTGAATATTATTGTTTCACTAGTCATGGTGGAAGAACTTAGAGTGTTATTACTTGGATGATAGATTCGTTGCCATATGTAATCCCTTGTGTCTTCCCAGTCATGATTGATGTCCATTTTGTTTACTTTTTCTTCTTAGTTGCTCTAGTCATCTACTCATCTGTATGATCTTTATCTTTTTAGTGCTTGCATTTCTATCAAAATCTTTGTGCTGGAAAATTTGGATTTTTATCCATTTCCATACAGAGATATTGTTATTGGTCATGATGAGTACATGAATTCTACTGGTTTATTGCTGGTAGTGCTGATTATTATATAGGAGCTTCAGTGTATTAAAATTGAAGATTCGGCAATGGTAACATTAAAACTGAGATGCAACCTAGACTTAATCATGTAATTGTTTAAGTTTGTTCATGTAATATTTGAACTTAAATCATTATGTAATAATGCAATGTGTTAGTTAAGGCTTTTCCTCGTTCTTGCTCTATGCTCAGAGTTGGATTATAATGTTACACTCTTGCATGTTTCAACGAGAACACCAAAAGAACCTAATTCAGTGGTGGGTTTGGGAACAAATTTAATGAGGAAATATGGGGTAAAGTAAATATATGGAAATTTTTAGAAGAGAAAATCCACAGGATTCTATAGAAGATAATTAGACTCTAATAAGGAAAACTGAGTAAAAGTATTATTTGTTTGGTATAGGGTATTATTAAGTTAAAATATTGAATTCCTTAGTTTTCAATTTCTCCATCACTTCTTTTGTAGGAAAACTATGGAAAACAAAACAAGGAATATACAACTTGTAAATTTACCTACATCTACTCATTTTTACATTTCCATACTTTCCTTATCAACAACCAAACATTGTAAAACTAAGAATCCTCACATTTTTTCACTTTGAAAATAGTATGGTTATTTATGTTTCCATTTGAAAATCATATATTTTTCTAAAGATTCTGGATTGTTTTTATGTATTTGAAAATTTCCTTTTGAAAAAAACCAAACCAATGTGGGATTGCTGAAGCACATATAAGTTTACGACGAGGAGGCTGAATTAGATATTTAAACATTGTTAGAGTGTGATACCATCACATACAAATGCAATTGGCATTTATGATTTTAGATTCACAAAGTAGAAGTGTACACCTCAACTAATTTATGCTGAATCAAACTAATTTTGTTGAAAACAAAACAATTTTTGTTGAACCCTTGCTTAACTAGACTCACTTTGCTAAATAACTTAACTTATTTTTACTCATCACTTTAAGTTCAATGCATGAAGTCCATGTTCTTTTTAATTTGTTCTTTAATAAGTACATTCTTCTGTGTTGTGTATTAGGGTTTGTTGGTTTCATTTTATTTTAACTTATTTTATCTTATCTATAACTAATACTAAATAGCAACTGTTGATATCATCCTATCCTAAAATTAGATCTATGTCATGTTGTCATTAAAAAATTTCCCTCCAAAACTATAAATGATGTCATCATTTTATGATTTTTATTTTATTAAAATTATGGTCAGCTATATTATTATTAGTATCAATTTCCAAAAAACAGTCTATTCTTTCTAACAATAATAATTTATTTTTTCTTTCTCAGGTACCCCTTTCATCATTCAATTTTCTATGAGTTTAAATTTTTTTTGATGTATTATTTGTTTTGTTTTTAATTTTGGTATGAAAAAAAAAAAAATTTAGAAAATTTTATTCATTCAAATCGTGCATTGCACAAGACTAATCTATTTACAAATAAGTTCAGATTCAATTAGACAAATTAAGTATAGATAAGTTCAACCAACATAAATTTAGAAAAATTCAAATAAAATAAGTTTAAAAAAATTCAAACAAAATAAGTTCATATAAGTTCAAATAAAAGATAAGATTAGACAAATGAAATAAGTATAGAAAAAATTAGATAGTTTTAGAAAAAAATAATTTTAGACAAAATTAGATGAACCAAACTGAGCCTTAGCCTTATAGTATGCGAAGTATAGTTGATGTTAGATTGCTTGATGTAGTAAAAAAATTATCATGATAATCTTTTGGTAGAGATTTAACTTACGTTTGTCTTTTAAGAGAGGTCTTTTCTTTGTCGGGTTGTTATTCTTTTGCCCCCTTGTGCAACACATTATTTATTCTTCATTTCGGGAAAATATATACAAATATTATCCTATTCTGCGACAAATATTATCATAACTATAATATTATCATAACTATAATATCTATCAGTCTCTTCTACACATATTCAACATGTTATTTAATGTTTCATTGACTTCGAGGACTCAAACTGATTGTCTGTTTAAAAACCTAGACTACTAATATAGATTTGCTTAAGATTTGTTTCATTCACTTCTAACATAGATTTGATTCTATATGTCTCCAACCTAGGAAAACTTTAACACTTAAAACCTCTTATAAGTTTGTGGTTTAACTTTTATTATATCTGAGGAAGTAGTCGTAGACTCGTAGCTGCAGAAAATGTGTGAAGCAACTTTAACTTCTTGTTAATGAGCATAATAGTTTTGTGGTGGTTCATTTGTATGCAACTAGTAATTTGATATCTGACATATCTTTCTGGTTGCTTCATTTTACTTTTGACTGATAGGAGTAGTAAATTTTGTTTAAGTTCTCGTTGATGATTAATGCTACCCAGACTAGTTTTGTGACCATAATTGTCCGTGTTACTTTGTGTATTTTGTAGGGAGAGTATTTTGCAAAAAGGGATGTGGTGCAGATGGGGACACATGGGCTGAATGTGAGTATTACTCTTCCTTAATCCTGGGTGAATTTAAATCTTTGATATATATACTATATTAATAAAATGTCATGTTTAAATGTACTTATATATGTTTTAGCACCTTTCCTTTGCTTGATTTTTGATCTAATTGAGTTATTGCATTTTATACTACATGTGAATCATTCTTTTTTTGATGGTTCTTGTTGTCATTGTGGAGCCCGGGTATGAGGTAAACTCCATGCTTTAGTGAGTTGGAAGTTAGCTTATTGCTTAATAAATGTATATGGATGTAAATGCAACAATCCTTAGCCTCATCTGACTATAGGTAATGGTAAATTGGTAACTATTGAGCAACTGATGAAGTAAGGAGTAACTAATATGTTATCAGATTCTTACTCTGATTTAAGAATAGATTGCTTGTCGTAACAGGCTGTATAGTTATAGAAAAATGATTATGTAATGCTTCAGGCTTATGGGAAGAAGGCATTGTAGGTAGTGCAATATGACTAGTATCTTAAAGAGGATGATAAGTGAGTGAATAAGAAGGAATGTTTAAAGTAGCACATCACATTGGCGAGATAGGAAATAGGATGATAATTAAATTTTCCTTTTGTTTGGCATTTGCCACTTTGAAGCCTAGAATTGTCTGCTCAATTTGATAAATTAATTGCATCAAATTGCAATGTAAAATCTTTTATCTTCTATAACAAATTGGAAATAGAGCAAAGTTTTGATAACTTAAGATTTAGGTTATGATGTGAATGTGCTACCCAGGTAGTCAAAAAGGAAGAAGAAAGGGCAAACAAAAATGCTCTCTTACTATAAATTGTATATGAAATCTACTCTTAATAAATTCTACTTCCTCCGTTCCACAAATATTGCAACAATTATTATTTTAGGAAGTTTCACAAATATTGCAACATTTCTCTATTTGCACTTGTTTTCTCTCTTTCTCTCTCCTTATCACATGGGTCCCTATCTTTATTCATCTCTATCTCTCTCTTGTTTTCAAAATCCGTTTCCCATTTCTATGTTACAATATTTAGGGAACAGAGGAAGTATAACATACTACCTCCTTTTTGATTTTGTCCATTTTCAAAAGTTCTTTAACACTTTCACTTTATTCCATTAATTTTATTTTATTGCTTTACTCTCATACCCGATAGTGTTACACTTTGTTATACTTTGTTACACTATTTTACTTTACCCACCTTATTTTTACATCCACTCACCACATTAACATTGTAACTTTAATTACATTAATTTGTGTGCAAATAGCAAGTGTTAAGTATTTTCTAAACAGAGGTAGTAATAGATGCGAAGGATTGTATATACTCGCTCTGTATTTTATTACTTGTTCCATTTCTCCATGCACGGAGTTTTAGGAGGAACAGTGGAAAGTAATGAAATATGATGGAAGCGGGGTTGGTTGAAAAATGTAAAAACTCTTGAAAAACAAAAGTGAGTATAAGTAGAGAGGAGAGAGAATATGAAAAATATTAAAATATGATATGAGGGGACCACTAGTAAGGAGAGAAATAGTAAAAAATTGCTAAAAGTTTCCAAAAAAAGAAATGGAGCAAGTAATAAAACACGGCCGCAAAAGGAAAGTGGAGCAAGTAATAAAATACGGAGGGAATATTTATTTGTCATTGTGTTCATGACTCATGAGTATGGGAACCGAATGTATAGTTTTGACATTTTTGTTGTCATACCTCTTTTAAATTATGGGATTAAGGCTTTAATGGATTGATTGACCTCTTTGAACCCTACAGAATATGGTCCTATAAGGGGTGTGAAAATCTGTACTTATTTTCGTGTTTATGTTAGTCCCTAAATAAATGCTTATATTGTCCAAAAATTCTTAAATGAAACTCAAAAAAAAAAAACCATTTTTCATTTGAGCAATGTCCTATATACAGATGCCTTGTTCACTTCTTTTGATGTATATCGCACTTAATTATTTTTGTAGAACTTAAATTATTTTTAATGAAATTAAATTACTTTTGCTAATTTTTTTTTTTTTTTTTTGGTTGTACTTAGATAATTTGCCGAACTTAAATTATTTTTTACTGATTGAAACTTATTTTTACTTATTCGTTATTATATTTGTTATTTGAAGTCACTAATTTGGACTGAATAGAACTTATTTGTGCCGAATCTAACTTATTTTTACTGAATTGAAATTATTTTTACTCCATATTATTGTTCTAAGGTACAAGGCCTATCTTCCTTTTTTATTTACTTATAATAAACAAAATCCCATTAACCACTATATTTTATCTCACTTCTCCTAAAACAATAAATTATTTCACATTACCTTCTTATTTAATATTTATTTAACCTCAATCAACAATACCCCCACTACTCCTTTCTTGAATCTGCATGCCTAGGAAAATGAGGCTTTCATTTAAGGACAAAGGGAGTGCAATTTTTACCTTCTATAATTGACTTGGTCTTACATCTCTCAGCTGAACACAAGGCTCTCTGAAGTCTGAATCACAATTTAGTAGAGGATGGGTCATAACAGAATACATATTTGCAATTATATTGATTGGATTTCTCCTGGCTAGGTGAGATAGATTAAAATTGGTCTTCTAGGTCAGAGGCTTTGTTGTTTGACTTAGCTTCATTGTTATTAATTTTATTTATGACTATGGGAATTAGAAAGTTAAAGTTTGTGATCTAGTGAAGTATCATATTCAGTTAGTATCTTTTTTTTAATCTTTTAAATAAAATCTATTTCTGAAAAAAATCTGGTTTTCCCAGCTAATTCGATTAACAAGCTAATGAAGACAAAATGAAGAAATTAGTGAACGTTTGATAGAAATTTGTATTACATGATCAGAGTACTATTTACAACTCAACCACACTGAGGGGCATATTTCCTCCCAGTAGACTTTCTCTCACCACAATAATTGTTATCTTCCATACAAACATTTCCCTATATATATTACATCAGCAGCCACAACTTACTTGCTTCCTAAATTTCCCTCTAACAAACTACTTTGCTGGTTACCACTTACCACTACTACCCTTCCAGACCTTCCCTCTGACCAACTTCTGACAATAACCAACTATTTATGCAATTCCTATTTTGTAACTATTTATGCAACTTCTGACAATAACCAACTATTTATGCAACTTCTATAGTTAGTATTATTATGTTTTTATTTTTATTTCTATCAGTACATATCAGCACTTAGAAATTCTATTTCTGTAACTGTTTAATTTCACCTCATGATTTATAAGATTAAACTTAGAGATATATGGGAAGTTCTATGAAAGACTGGATTAACATTGCCTAACTAACTCAACTGATTAGTTTAGTATACGTTGTGCTTTGGACCCCTGGACAGAAGCCATCATATGACTTAAGGATTCCTTATTGAGGTTTGAGACGCGGCCAAGTCTTCAACCCTGGAAAGTACTTGTTTGTGAAATACCTGGGTAACTTCTCAATGCTAAGTCTTCCCAAGATCTTGCAGTTCTGCAATAAAGGCGTCCTTCAATTTTGATGTTCTGTGTTCTTTGTCGTACTTTGGGTTCTTGGACAACATTCTGTAAGGACATAATTTTGACAGTATAAAGCCGTGGACGAAGTGTCTTCCCTTTAGTTGCTGTGAAAGAATTTCAAACCCAATAACATGTCCTATTTAATATGTGTTGGCGAAGCATTGGAATATCATTAAGTAACAAACTTAGGTAACTGTTGTAAATATTTCAGGTTACCGAAAGTCCGAAATTGATTGTTGCTGCATATTTACTCTTGTATTGAAAGGGTAATTATTGTAAGATTGAGACATCGCTTGATCAGGTGAGTAGAATGGTGTTATACACTAACACACCACGTATATGAAGGGTTGGACACTTGGACTTGTGTATACGTAGATTTTTTTTGATATAACGGAAGCTCTATATAGTATCTGGCTAAAAAGTTTGATGAGTCGTGAATGTCTAATGTCAATTAAGGGGAATTCTATAAAGGGCGTCGCTTTGTCACCTGCCAAAATTCTTTTTTTTTTTTTTTTTTTTTATAATCCAATGTATAAGCTATTTCATGCAATCATGTAAAAAGGCAGTATAGGCAAGTAAGCAACCATTGCTAGTGCTGCACCAATGCACTCATTTCTACGTAGTATATGTCTGATGGACCCTTTTTGTTTGTCTCTCCTGTTTTGGCAAAAAGAGTGCAAATGCTTACATATTGTTGGTAGTATCACTACAGCATTCTTTTGTACTTGTCCACTGATTGATATTTTCTGATGGAAATTTGCTGGCATATATTGCCTTTTGGAATCATGCTGAGTAAGCAACTTCATTTGCAACTCCAAGAGCCCTGGGAGAAAACGGCTATTGATGTTAACCCTTATGTAGAATTACTGCATCAGTTTTAATTTATATTTTTATTATTATTTTTTTAAGGAAATTTTACAAGCTGTTGATCTGCTTTTAATTGCATTTAGGTGTGAGTGAATGTGACCAGATATGCTACAAGGACCCAGTCTTAAAGGACCAGCAATGGAGTGCTTATATTGATCGTTCTCCTGGGGATGCAAGTTACTCTGAGGTTCCTATTCTTACTAACTGCAACTTTTAATCTCATATTTTGCTTTTGTTGATAAAACAACCCCCTCCCCAGATGCTACAGATCTTTATGTCAAACTGTGGTTATCTGGTAACTCAATAATCCATTTTTGTGTTTGCTACAGATCTTTTTGTGTTTGTAATTACATCTAAAGGCCATCTAAAATTGGATATTATTGGGGGAATTATCAACCTTGAATTATGATTATATAAGTGGTGTTCCAAATTGAAATGTGATTTCATAGTTAACTAAAACTTCTCTTATGCGCTCTTATTGTCTGTGTTTACAGGAGTGTTTCCATGCTTGTGTTGCCGGTTGTGGTTACAAGGTCAGTTGGCATCCCTGAGCTTACCGGAACCATGCCTTTTCCACTCCGCATTCATACGTGATATGTAGAATAATATGTACATGAAAGGATTCAAATTTAAATTTTTTATGGGTTTGTCCCTTGTTAATCTGTGTTGCAGTTTGAGGTGCCCGTCGAGAAGGTTAAAGAGTGCCACCCAAACAGGCCATGTAAACCTCCTGCAGTGCCAAAGCCGGCCAAAAAGTTTGCTGAATCACAAGCACCTGTTGAGGATAATGTGCCTGGCACTTCTGCTTAACCTCTTATCTGGAGTCATACTAATAGTGAACCCATTTGGGTAAATTAGATTTAGAACACTTTTAAAAATAGGCAGACAATTATTTTTTGACAGAAAGGTTTTCTGTAGGGCCTTTCAATAATTATTTCCTCTTCTTCCATGTCTTCATTTTTGTGGCGGGAGAAGGGACCGACCCTTTTTTCCAACTTATCATGCTTCGGCCAGCTGCAACAGGTTCTAAATTTCTCATTTGGTTGAAATTTTTTTTTTGATGGAAATATTGTAAATTCCGAGACGTTTAGCATTTATACATAGAAACCTTAGCTGATCCTCAACTCCTAAAAGTTGGATGCTTGGATTGTGCTATTGTTCCATTAAAATATTAACTGCGCTAGAAAAGAAATTATGTAATTGTGTCTCTGATATATTTTTAGTCAAGTGTCGGAGGCCCCCTGAGGGGCCTTAGTAGCTATTGATTTTTCTTGGTGTTTCCTCTTTAAAAAACGCAGGTTCTTCGGGCTTTCGACTGATCGGAGTGCTATAATGCCTATGGAACCAATACAATTCTTATTCTTTGGTGATGGAACTATAGAGTAGCAGAGAATCTACCATGTGAAGAAAATGAAGAAATCTATCTTTGCTTAACAAAACTTGTGGTTATTGTCAAATTGCTACTTGTTTGTTACAATAATTGTCCTCATAGCACATTGCCCAAATAATATGTTTGCATCAAATAATTGGAGTTTGAACTAATTTTGGAATTTCCACCAATTTATTATTTGGTGAGGGTAGGTAATAAATGGATGGGAATGACAATAAATACAAAATGAAAATTTTGCCATTAATGAAAAGAATAAAAATGAAATCTTCATAAGGGTATTTTTGTAAAATTGTTATTTATTCTCATTATATTTTCACCCACTATCCAAACACATATTTTCATGTATTCCCAACAATTAATTCTCAATCCCATTTCCACTTTTTAATCCCAAACTCCCATTCTCACATTCCATACGCCCTGTAAGTGCCTTAATACCGATTTTTAAACAAAGGCGAGATCATGGCCCTTATGAGCCATGGTCCTTTGATTTGCTTTGAGTCTTGTTACTTTAATTTACGGTTTTAGTTTTATCCTTTGTAAAATAGTGCTTAATCAATAGTATTACATTTAATTGGAAACTACTTGCTAAAATAATACGAAGTAGTTTATTAGGATGAATCACTAATTGAGTTAGTGGTTATTACCTAGTATATCGACTCCTTGGGGATATATGTGATGACAATCATTGAAGTACATTTTAGTGTTTTAACTAAGTCAAAACGCTACATAATAAATAACACTTGGGTAAGTAAAGATGGGTTATAAGACTAATAACTCTAAACTTTTGAGTGACTTCAGTGTTTTACAATACAAAGCTAACAAAATTAGCTTTTGCAGTAGCATTTGTTAAAACATAAGGAGTATAAATTGTTTACCTTTAAAACATATGAATTTCGCCTTTAAATGCATCATCTTTCAAGCTTGTATACTAGTTACCAAACACTTTTGCTAACCATCAACATATAATTACACTACTACAAACTTTATATCTTACATTGTTTCTACATTATATTTCGTAGCTAACATCAATTTAGCCACGGCTATAACTAATTTTGCCAAGCACGTCCTCGAAATAAACCAATTCACTGCTGCTGACGTAGACAAAATGCAAATTTTTTGTAAAAAGAAACGCAGTTGAGGAATTATAGCTTCCTCTTTCAACTCATGCTGCCTGGCCTACCTCCCTCCCAACCTGCGCATCATCGGTATCACTGCACCATAATAATCCAGGTTCTGTAATTTTAATTGCCTTCTTATTTTTACCATCAATTAATATTATCAAATTTATTTTCTTTCATACAATTATACTCAATTTAAGCCTTTTGTCACTAAAACCTAAGATCACTGACAAAATTTCCCCTAATTTTGCAGAAATTGTTGTTAATTTACAATGCCGCAAGTTAGAATTATAGCCAAGAATTTCATTGACATGGTTGCTTCTTTGCCTGCTGTCAAGCTCGATTTGCTTTACGCTAACCCCTTTATTTGTGAAGCCATTCTTAGGTATTCTTCTATTTCTTTCTTTTATATTCTGTTTTTTAGTGTGTTTGAAGTTATTTATTTGATTTGTTTGAACTTTATTTGATTAATTGTTTTGAATTATAGTCAATTGTTATAGTTATGAAAATGCCCTATATTGCAGAAACTTGCTTAGATGTAAGAAAAATGTTGGTTGATCATAAGGGTTATCTATGCCTTGTATTTTTATCACTGAGCATATCATGGTCTCTCTAACATGGAAACATTGGTAAAGATTTTCACTTTCATATTCGATGTTGAGAGGTTTGGGGAAGTTTGAATAAGTTTGTACTCGTACTTGTACATATTTGTTTGATCATAGTGATATATGTAAGTATCAATGTTCCCAAATTCCAAGTAAGGTGGGAGTTAGCTATTTGCGTGTTCCTCATCTTTCTTGCTTTTAACTTGAGTTATCTTACCCCTGAAAGCACTTTGGTTACTCTACCTAGAAAGGTTTGCCAAGTCTGAAGGAATCCCTGCTGTAATGCTGGAAAAGGCAGGGATTTTGGCTGGATTGGAAATCATCGGTTGGTTATTTTGACCAAGAAAGGCATGTATGTCTGTGGGAAAGTGAATTGCTTGGGTTGAGTTGTTTTTGAACAGAATTCCCATAGGCGAGAGGTGTAAGAGTCTTTTAAGTTATACCATGATTTTGAGTTTAAATTCTTGTGTGCCTGCACAAGAGCCTCATCCTGAGAAATGTTCGATTGATATCCGAGATCAACAGTCAAAACAAATTAAGATTTGTGATTGTATATTTAGCAATCACATATGTATTTGTGTATAAGACAAACTGTATCTTTTTAATTATCTAGTAAAGTAAAGAGTTTTAGTAACTAAGACGACTATATATACAATCATTTCGGCTGTATATGTTTGTCAATTATATTATGAATTGCCATTTAATTTGCATTAAATGTTATTTTTAGAACGGCTGGATGGAGCACATTTCCTCCTCCCTTCCCTCCAGATTAAAGTTATCCCCCCTACTTCAAATCAAGTGAATGTCTTAATTTGCACATTTCCAAATCTATTCCAATAGTGCAACTTTTTCTAACTAAAATATATCATCACTAGCATTTCATTGGGGAAAGCTTGTAATATGAGGAAACATTACTCTAGTAGTCACATCAATGTACCTGAAAATATCCTTGCCAAGGTCATCGGAAGTAATGCAAACATTGCCAAGTGAAGTGTGAAAAAATTCATGTTAGAGAATGCGTGAAAACATGGCTATGATGGATGATGTAGTTATACTTATGCATTGCTGACGTGGTTTGTGGATCAGGTCCTTGCCACCTTTGGCCAAGAAGTACGTATTGCAGATGCTGTACATTGACGCTCCAATACCTGCCAAATCCTTGGAAGAGTGGGTTCTTCCTGATGGACTTTCGAAACATAGAGTTGCTATTGATCGATTGATTCAACTAAGAGTTCTTTCTGAAACTATTGACAGGTAGTATGCCTTTGAAGTTATAGGATGTATCTTATAAAGTATCTTTAGACTGTAAACTTTGGCCTATTCATTTGAGAATACATGAGATTTTGAACCTTAAGCTGCTCTTTTATCTATAATTCTTGCAAATATTTACACTAATAGTTTTTTTGTAAATGGTTGTAGACTTGTAGTTATGAAAATTGGCTAACGATGTTAGCTTTCTACATAATTTTTTTGCAGGAAAAAGGAGACCAGTTATGAAATGAATAAAAAATTTCAGATTAACCTTCAGAAGCAGCTAATATATGGGTAATTGAAGTTTTTTTCATAATTGATATTAGTCCTATTTCTTTTTTTCTTCTTGATTACACTGTGTCTGTATGGTTAATAAAACGAGGATGGATGGGCTAAGTCGGTGGAGAAGGTGGTCATATATTCTATGAAACATAACAGCTACTGCAGTATTTTTTTATTATATATATTTAAAATTGAGAAATACACGTTTAGTAGGGCTGGTCGCTGATTAAAATTCTATGCACTTCAGTAGGCTTTGGTTATTAGCTTAATCCTGTGTCAGTTGTTGCTAAGCAGTGCATATCTCTTGAGCCTTATCACTTGAAATCGCTGATCAAGGCTCTATGTAAAATATGTCTCGATGTTATTAAATGCATATAAATTGTCAATATGTTTTTCATGTTGGATCACTGAATGAAGATATGTTTTTTCCTGTCCTATGTGTCTTTAATATGGCTTCAATGTGATTTTTGAAAAAAAATAAAATAATGTGGTTCATGTAAATCCCCACTTGATTCCAGGATGCTGAAATATTAAGTAAAATTCTGATCGAACTTTGTGTAAGTTAAATTGGTTGTTGCAGCGGAAAATTAGCAAGGGAATCAATGCCTTCAAATGCTGTGAGGCTCCCAAGCTTGGAGGAATTAGAGATCTATGCTCTAGAACAGTGGGAGGTGTGTTGTTTTTGTGCCTCAAATTCCTACTATGACGCAAATTTTTTACTTTTTGGAGTTGATTTTGCATTTGACATCCTGATGATCCTACTTGTAGGCTATATTATAATTTAATCTAGGTCTGCTCCTAATTATTTTTTAGATGTTCCTATTATGTGTTATTAAGATCCTTGGTTGTGTTAACAATGCTTGGTTTCATATCAGCGATTCCTGCTGCATCTTATCAGCTCCAAAGAAGCAGAAAAGTTGACAAACTTCAGTTCTTCTATGATGAAAGTTTTCCAACGTGGTCTCTTAAGTCAAAGGTTAGTTCACCTCTCTTACGCTGACTATAAATATCTTTTGATTTGTGTATTAAAAGTAAATTGTTTGCTGACTTGGAAGCTGTTTTTGTTTAATTTTAATAAATGCAAAAGACCTGTATCCTCAGATCTTAGTTTGTAACCCTACTATTAGATGAAGGGGATGCTTTTGTCTCATATACTTCTACATTTTTTGTTATAATCACAGAGAAAAAGAAGGCTCAAGGTTAACTGAGTATGGCTTCCAGTTCCTGGTATGTTCACTGATTTTTTTTTTTTTTTTTTTTTTTCCCTGATTATTCTTAGGATATTGCATTAATATATAGTCTATATTTATCACAGCTGATGGACACAAATGCACAACTGTGGTATATCATCAGGGAATATATTGCCAATGCTGAGGTAAGGACCACATTGCCTGTTGTGCTCACTGCTTTAATAGACTGATGTACACTCACCTTTTCCAAGAAAAAATTTAATCTACGCACCTTTTCCAGAAGTAGATGACTTTCTTTTCATGAACACTCAACTACTCAAGCATTTTATTTAGAAATTCATGATTATTAAAAGCATTCAAAGATCACTGTCACTCACAATGCTCGTTTTATCTCGTATCATATAGGAAAGCGGAGTTGGATGTATTTATGGAAGGCTAAAACTAGTGTTTTACAATTCAGAAATAGGTGTATGGGACTATGTCACTGTTCATGTTGTAGATATCTTGTTTTTCATTGCAACTCTATGGAGGGCGATGATATGAATATTTGATTTTGATGATCACATGTAAAAATCAAAGTTAAAGACATGCTACTACCCTATTACTTTGAATATTGTTAATAATATCCACTGTCATTTGGTTTCTGAATCACAGTGGACTCAATCACTATGGCCATAAAATTGTCTGCTCTTCTTATATGCTGTGAAGTAGTTGACAGTCATTGCGTAATTCAAGGTTGATATCAAACAACTTCTTTGTTTTTCTCACAAACAGGAGTGGGACAGCATAGATCTAATCCTGCATATCTTGCCCAATGCAGGAGCCTCTTTAGAGGCATTAGGGTAATATTGATATGCACACAATGTGTTCTGTTCAGTGCCTAAGAATTCTTTTTTTTTTTTTTTTTTTTTTTTTTTTTTTGCCTTTTCATCTAGGTCCATCTAGTTCATTCCACGTATCGACTTATAATTCAAAATTTATCCCTTATAGGCACATATATGCTACTTTTCCTTTCTAAAAGTTGGACTTGTGATCTAGCCACAGAAATACAGCATATAGATGGTGGGAGTGGGGCTGATGTAGGAGAATTATTATTTCCATCTTTGATTACTGGCTGAGTAGCTTTTTTCAATGCTTGCTATTGAATAATTCACCACATACAGGGTAGCATAATTATCATTCCATTTGCTGCATTTTTGTAGGAGCGTGGTGTAGATCCAGCAACAATAATTTCATTTCTGCTGGAGCTTAGTTTTCACGAGACAGGGCAGGTAAGATTTCCAATTTTTTGAAAGCATTGTTGTCTGAATAAAGAATTTTCCTAGCACTTGCTTTGGAGTTTTTTTTGTAAGGTACTTGTGAATTCGAACTGTAGTTAAGATTTCCAAGACTCTGCCAGTATCTGAAATTTATTACAATAATAAAGCTGGTATGGTGCTCATCTCACTTGGGGCTGATAATTGGCAGGCGTACAATATCAACACATTGAATGAAGTTCAGCTTAATACAATCAAGGACCTCAGTGATTTGGGATTAGTCAAACTTCAGCAGGTTTTTTGTTTATCTGCGTTTCCAATGCATATTTTAGGTATGACATGCTCCAGAGATTTGATGTACATGTGATTTTTCAGGGAAGGAAAGAGAGTTGGTTCCTTCCGACAAAGTTGGCTACCACTCTTTCAGTCAGCCTATCAGATACAGCAACTAGGAAGCAGGTATCTTGCTGAAACTTAATTGTAGAGTTTGGCCCCTCACCCCTCTTTGGGCATAGATGCTTGATATATTTCATCTTAAGCTATTGGATAATCTGTACCTCCATAATGTCCATTCCCAACCTCTGAATTTTTTGTTCCATGGTCAATCTGATGGTCAATTAATTTATTTCTTCAGTTATTCTTATTTCCCTAGGTGCTGATCTATGTTCCTACACAGCAAAGACTTTACCTTTGGCCTACTAGTTAGCTTTAACGAGTTTTCTTTTTCCAGGGTTATGTGGTTGTGGAGACGAATTTCAGGATGTACGCTTATTCTACGTCTAAATTACATTGTGAGATTATGCGTCTTTTTGCAAGGTACTTGCAGTATTTGTTTGTTTAAACAGTTCTCCCATTTCTGTTTCTTGTCGCTAGTGCCTAGTGGTTAGCAAGCATGTTTCTAATGAACTTCAATATTCACATATTGTTGTAGCGGTCCAATTTGTTCTCTGGCTATCGATGATATGAAGTATTTGTTTATGTGCTTGCCTTTTGATATTTTTTGTTACTTTACCATTGTTCTGAAAATTGCTTGCTTGTATAGTTAAATTTGGGTTCTTTGCTCTTATCTTAGCAAATATACTTGCTTCATTTTTGCAGGATAGAATACCAACTTCCTAATCTGATTGTGGGGGCGATTACTAAAGAAAGCTTGTATAATGCCTTTGAAAATGGCATTACATCAGAACAGGCAATGATTCTTTCATCAAGATTTGTCTTTGGTTCAGGAGCTATTATGAGTATAATCTCAGAACTCTAACAGCGGAATTCCATTGCTTTGCTTAACATGTGGATAAAACTCCAAAATTAGCAATTTAGCCATTTTGTTTATTTGGCTTGGTCCAACAGAATCTAGTAAAGGTTGGCTACAAATGTTTGGTATTGTTGTAGCCTGAGTTGTGCGCCTGAAACTTTCAAGCTACAGTAAGCAATCACAGGATAGCAACCCTTTAAACCCCTTTGTCAACTTTGTGTGCTTTCTAAGGAGGGTGCTGGGAAAAATATTTGCATCTTGGATTTTCCTAATGGGGTTTTAGAAAGCAGCATTTACGCTTTGTTTGGATAGCAAATAAGGAAAGGAAGGGGAGGGAAACAGGAGGAAGGGAAGGGGAAAGAAAGGGAGGGGGAGGTGAGCTCCATATTCCCTCCAAATCTCTCCAATTTTGGAGGGATTATGCTTATTAAAGAGAGAAGGAAAATGGATCCCTCCTCCTGCCCTTCCTTCCCCCAATTTTTTTACCCAAACAAGAGAGTTTGTCCCCCTCCCTTTCTCTTCCCTTCTTTTCCTTCCATTTTCTTCTATCCAAACAAAGTGTTAAGGCTTTTAGCAAATATTTACTTGGCTGTTCTGGTCATGTTAATATGCAGCCTTTATTAGGACCACATGCAGGAGATATGGTTTTGGTACAGCGTAGATGGTAGAATAAGGCCTCTGCTCTTTTTATTGGGTGTATATGGGTTGAAAAGATGGCTAGGATTTTTTTCTCTGAATCTCTTCCTGTTTGCTTGGACCATGTATCTTGCATATCTTTGGGCATGGGTTAAAGGTGCTTAAGAGATGTGATGGTTCCCTTGTTGATATTGAAAGTTGGGTGGTCCCATTTAACCAAAAAAAGGAAAAAAAAAAACAAAAACAAAAAACAAATTTGGGTGAATATACCATTGTGTCCTCTTACTCCCCACCCCCCCACCCCCCTTCTTTAGGGGGGGTTTGGGGGGTTGAGGGGGGGGGGGGGAGGGGGTGGTTATTCTGTCTCATTAAGATGGCAAACAGTTCCATATTTAGCATCAGACATACTTTATGCTGTATTAGCATGAGAAGACAATATTTATGCTGTGTTAGAAATTAAGTGTCCATATTGATTTTGATCGTGATAGTGAACTGATACAACCTTTTTTATAACATAATCTGTGGTTAAAGGAAGTCCCCTTATTAATTCAAGATTACTAAGTTCTACCATTTTTTATTTGGGATGGAGGGAATCTCACATTCAAATCACTTTTTATGTGAAAATGCCTTGGGAGGGCAAAGCAGTAAGACAATTAGAAACAAAAGTTTGTTAAATGACGCTTGTACGCTTGAATTATTGACGTGAAATTAAGGGAATTCTGATAGGACCTAATTGCATTCCTGAAGTTTGGTTTCTGTTTGCAGATAGTTTCATTTCTTCAACAAAATGCACATCCTCGTATTGCTGAAAAAGTACCCACTGTTCCAGAAAATGTCACAGATCAGGTTTTTAAATTGTCTTTGATGTTGGACATGTTGATAAATGCTTTACACCATTGTTTTTTTTTTTTTTTTTTTTACCCCCCTACTATGTTTACTCTGTTGCTATTGGGAATTATTCACAGTGTGAGGTGCTTTGCTCTCGCAGCCTAGTTGGTATGAGTTAGTAAATTCAGGGAATTATTTTTGTTTGATTCACTCAGGAATTTCCTACTTAGATATCTAAAGTAATGTATCTCCACTTGCCGACATGTTTTTTCTTCATTGTATTCTCATTAATAGTAATTGCCACCTAAATTAAATGGCACCAGACACCAACCCTTAATTATTTTCTCATATTGAATGAGCCATCAGTGTTATATATTAGACTGCATCAAGAGGATTTCTTAAGTAGATACTTGTACTGTTTGACAGATAAGGCTATGGGAATCAGATCTAAATAGAGTTGAAATGACACCTGCTCAGCTTTATGATGAATTTCCGTCTAAGGTGAAGACTGAGGTCCCATTTAAATGATATGGCCATCTTTTCGTATAATATATCTATTTGACTGACCTTACGTTCTAATCTCTGTTCCTCTTTGTCTAGGATCTATTCGAGTCCGCTTGTGATTTTGCACGTGAACATGGAGCTCTATTGTGGGATGATTCGAAAAAGATGCAGCTAGTAGTAAAAGCTGAGCTGCATACTGAAATGCGAGAGTATCTCCGCCGCCAAAAATAATAGTCATATACATTCCAAGTTGTCAGTGAAAAACTCGGGAAAAAAGAGGTGGTTATCCGAAAGGAAAAGGTGATTGCACCGATGCGGCCTATGTTGTTGATTAAATTGATGGATGATTTGATCTGATCTACTCTGATGCAATGCTAAAAGGATAGGCAGATAATTGTGCATGAAGACGAGTCTTTCTGGAGGATAGTCATTTCCTCTGAAAGGTTTCTTGAAAGATTCTGCCGATATTTTGAACTCTTCTGTTGTCGTCATTCAGCCAAAATCATCCCAAAATTTCCAACCCCCTGGAAACTCTGCTGCAAATGGATTTTTTGAGAAACAAATCAGTTCCAAAAGCTTGTATCAAGTGTATTTTGTTGTGGACAATGCTTGTTTGTAAATGTGTATTTTTTGGGTTCAAAACATCCTAAAATATATATCTAAAGGCGATACGAGTGGATTCTAGCCTGGGTTCAAATTAATTCAAGCCCCTTCATGGTTTTGATATGATTGAAATAATAAGTGTGAGCCTAAATTCAGTCTTAAAGTGATTCCTAAGTTTCCAATTTGCCGTAACCCTTTCTTCTATCTTCAGTTTGCTCATCTTGCATATTTCCCCTAAACAAAATACTAATCCCTAAAAAAAAAGAAAAAAAAAATCAAATATAAAAAATTTAATACAACTGTTGCTGCCCAGGATCGAACTGGGGACCTTTAGTGTGTAAGACTAACGTGATAACCACTACACCACAGCAACTCATTGTATAATAGGATCATTTTATAAATTAAGTACTTTTAAAAATCAAATTTTATAAAAAGACAGTAATTAAACAATTTCTAGGAAGTTTCTCTCTTTTGACATTTTCGAAAAATAATAAAATTAAGGAAATTTCTAAGAAATTGAAAACTTTAACTTATGCAATCATTTTACTAATTTGATTCATCAACCTAACAAAAACTACATGAATATATATTTTGGAGACCGATCGAAAGTGATATATAGCATACAAACATGTAACAAATCTTGCATATCACACTTCACGTAAAATACAACACCAACATAAACCCTTTTAAGCTTAGCTTATTCATCAAATGTCAAGTAAAAAATACCCTAACCTTATTTCCATGGACAAAGCTGCCATGAATTGCATCAAATTATCATTTAAACTCGCCAATTTGGTCATGGCGATGACCGGGATCGCAATTCTTATGTATTGTGTATGGATGATCGTTGTTTGCTTAAGAGAATACTATAAATATCCTTTCTCTTGGTAAATTTTTCCTTCATTACTAACATTTTAAGGCCTAGTCTAGTCTTTTTTAATTTTAAATGATCTACTTTCATTTGTTCTGGTCCGATTTGATTTTTTCTACAACTTCTTCACTCGCTTGCCTCACGATTAACAACCATACCTCGAACTAGTTGTACAACTAACAACTACTACGGCAATTAAAATGACCCGATTATTTTTTTCAAACCTCCTAATTGATGTTAGTTACTAATTATTTTGAAACATTTGCAGGTTTTTGTGGGCTTGTATACTTACCGGAATCATATTTTGTTCCACAGCATGCATAGGGCATGTAGGAGCTGATACGAAGAAGAACAATCTTCTACTTACCTTGGTACATTTTTAAACAAAATTATTATTATTACTTGCAACTTTAATGTTCTTCATAATCAATACATATACGTTGTGATCTAATATATAATTTAAATATTACTGCAGTATATAGGGATTATGCTCGTTCTTATTTTGGTGGAGAGTTTGATCACAGCTGATATATGCCTAAATGACAAATGGAATAAGGTACAAAAACTTAATGCGACATTCAATAGTTATTATTTTCATCGAGTTTTAGTAGAGACGGACTTACACTAACTTTTTGCAAGCTGACTAAGCGCTATGAGTTCATATTTGTATGCTAAAATAGAAAATTTGTTATGCTGTCGTAATAAACTATTGTAAGTCCGTCTCATATAAGATTCTGTCTTTTTCTGAGTTGATCATTCAAGTGATTATAATTAAATTGTTTACTATTTTACGTCAAACTGTCAAAATAATTTTGTTTTGATGCAACAGGATATCCCTAAGGATCGCACAAAAAGATTTGATCACTTTGTGGATTATGTCGATGACCACTCCAATAACTTCAAGTGTTTAGGCGTGTTGATAGCATTCTCTCAGGTTATATTTCGAAATTTCGACATTTAACACTTTTGATTAGATCTTAGAAGTTAGTAATTAACAATAATATGAGTGTGTTAACAAGTTCGATCATTTGATAATTAAAGTTATTAACCGGTGAAAGGTAAGTTGGTAACATAGCAAGTAAAAACACAAAAGGTCCATTTTCTTTTGCTTTTCTTAACAAGTCGGTCATTGATCGTGTTAACTTTTGTCAACTTACAATAAATAAACTGGCTTATTATTTTAGCCGAAATGACTACATATATAGATTGTTTTTTGAAGTTAAGTATGGTTTGGACTCAATATTGTTACAGGCTCTTTCATTCTTCCTAGCCATAGTAATTCGAGCAATGCGATCCAAATCACACCGGAAATACGAAGATGAAGAAGCCAACCTTCCTTTCTTAGATCATCAAATTCAACCTCCACCTCTACCGTATGCCGTCGGCCACCCCGATCCACAATACTATCCACCACCACCCTACGCGCACGGTTATGGTTATGCCCCCTATGTAACAGGGAGTGAGAAGGGCGAGTACGTAGCTGCTACTGTACAAGCTGCTCCTTATAGCTTTACTCCTACTTCTTGATGTTGATCATCTGATTTTTGTAAAATTTGAATGAACTTATTATTGTTATTGACTTTTTGTTATACAAAATTTTATCTACTTATATACTCCGTATAACTTTTATTGTATGAGCTAAATATCGCTAAGTGAATTTTAAAATCTTCTAAGCAAAGAATCCTAAAAAATTTATCGGACTAACAGTGATAAAATGTATGCATTTGAATGACACCCATTGCAATTGATAATTGGCAAAAATTTATATGCAACGGATGTATATTGTATGCCCATTTAATCATTCCATAAAATTCAAATAAAAGTCAATTTCACAATTGATTCAACATTAATGTCATAGTCATATTAAATTTGTTGTAGTCATACAATAACAATAATTAATACGGAGTACTAAGTATAAACTTAGTCAAGATTCTAGTCATTGAACTTGCATTTGATGTACTCAGTAGTCCGTATCATATATGTCATTATAATTATCTCAACTATAATAATGTGGTCATTTTTTTTTATTTTTTTTTTACGGGATAATAATGTGCTCATTATTATGTGGTCATATGTTTGGTACTGAATATATTTGGACGTGGGCGTAATTTGCAGGGTACCACGGACTTTGGCATTAATTTATTTGTGCAAAATTACACTCGCCTCATTACCAACAATCCAACATTGGCATGTACTACCAAAACGTTGTTAGTATCCTTTATATTTGGATGTACAATTCAAATTCCAAACCATCAACAATCCAACATTGGCATGTACTACCAAAACGATTTTTACCTTACGCTATCAACATGACTATTAATGTTAAGCCTTATGTATATGTATAGCTAATGGGCCAATGTGATAGGCCCTAATCTCTCTAAGGTTGTATATATATGTGCTTATACAGTAATACAAACTACGGAAAATTAATTCGTGATATGGTATTGGAGCCTCTACGATTCTAAACCCTTAAACACTAAAAAAAAAAATCTAATCTTCTCTACTCTACTGCTTAATCAACAATGGGTGACGACGGAAAGATGATCCTTCTTCCCCTTTCTACCTTGGCTCAGGCGATCAATCCCAAAACTTGATTACTCACGTGATCTTGAAGGGTGATTAATTACAAACAAAGTGAGTAGTTCAATTGGAAATGCCCATAACCAGCAGAGCAATCATGCTGAAAGAATAAATACAAGTAAATATTACTCTGTATGAATGAAATAATGAATACATTAGCATCCTCTCTGACCTACAGATACAGCATATGCCAAACCCTCAAAAAGTGTGGAAAAATGTCAACAAATCATGACTAGAATAAGAGATTACAATTCAATAATCAAGAAAACAGAACCAAAAAATCAACAAATCAATCACTACTCTGATTTCTTCGGTTTTCTCTTCATCCGGCTAAAAGGCCCCACTGTTCTATCCATTATATACATGTATATAACCTGGCTCCAAGATTTGTATGACTCTAGACCTTCATAGTACTCGGGTGCAATTTCTCTCACCTTATGAAGCTTTGTTCCTGGAATCCTCGGAAAGTCATGGTGCTCGTTGTGATAACCAACATGCCATGTCAAAAGATTCAAAGGGCCATAGTACGAGTATGTTTCTTGATCAGGATTGAAGACATAATGCTCGGAGATGAAGTGGCCGGCCATTGGATGCATCCCACCCCCAACGAAAGTTGAAGCAATCAAATAACCAAAAGATCTCCATCCATATAAGTAGACCATAGAGGCATCAAGTGCCACTTGGATGGTCAAATTAGTGAATTCCCACAAACAAGGCGGCTTTGGTTTGAGAAATAAGGGCCGGAGAGCATAGAAGAAGAGTTGTAAGACTACCCAAATGGATTTGGTAAAGGCATTTCGGACCATATAGGCCTCAGCTTTGCTTGGAATGTCCATGTCCAAGCCATCAACACCTTGAAATCTATGATGCTCAAGATGGTATTTTTGGAATGTGATAGACATTGGCACACCAATAGGTAGGTTTGCGAAAATTCCAAGCCAGCGATTGTAAGATGGGGTAGAGAAAGCTAGGTTATGGCTGAGCTCATGGACGGCCAAGAAAAGGTTGTGGTTAAGGAATGATCCAAAAAAGTATGCTACTACTAGTATTTTAAGAAAGCTTGCATCGTGAAGTAGAGTAGCAGTTGCAAGCTGAGTCAACACAACCATCGTAATCTGCAAGTGCCAAAAAAACATCAAAAGGTTAAAACCTAAATGAGGTAATTCCATATGTCAGTAAAAATCAATATTCAAGCATACAGAGCAGATTGATCATAACAGAATCGGAAATAATTCACAATAGAGCGTCGATTTAGCATGAACAAAAATTGAATTGGTTTAGCAAAACACCAAGATCTGTTGGAGATTACAAAAAAAAACTGATTGCAACTTTCAACCTTAAATATGAAACAGACCTATAACTGGAGTCTAACATTCAAAGATCATCACAAAAGAATGATATTGTCATCAATTTGGTTCAATTCAATCCTTCTGACATTTCCATTATACTACTCCCTTCCCATGAATTTAATTGCCACATTAGTAATTCACATTATATCATCCATGTGACTAATTTGGATGGAAGGTTAAGTAATGAGTACATTACACTAGTTTGACCTTGTTAATAAGAGAAGTCCTGGCATACTTGATTGAGTACATTACAGTAGTTTGACCTTAATAAGAGAAGTCCTTGCACACTTGATTGAGTACATTACACTTATTTGACCTTGTTAGTAGAAAGTCCTTGCACACTTGATGGAGCGCGGAGATAAACCATATGCAAAAGAGTGTTTTTGAAGAATGAGGAAAGAAGGGGAAAAAAAAAAAAAGAATTTAGATCTTCATTGATGCATAGGAAAAATCACCAATCAACTTCATCACTCGAAACTTAAACAAGAATAGGCATCAAAGCAATCGAAGTTCAATAAAATTCACTCAACACCCGTTTATTTCAAGCAGCAAATTATGATTTGAACATAGAACTACGAAAAAATTCAGCCAAAATGAGCGAAAGCACCACATAATACACAAGGCAGATTTCCTATCATATAATGCTGAATCAAGTGCAACTCCTTTACAAAACAAAGATGAATCTAAACCAATGATGAATGATAAACTAATCCAAATAACAAACAAATTAATCAACTATATAAATCATCATTAAATCCAAAGATGCTACATTTCAAATTCCCAATCACCAATGAGCAACTAAACTAATCCAAACAACTAACAAATTAATCATAATCAATGTTTAATTCCATCAATGAAGATCTAAACCAAAGATAAATGATAAAACTTTATAATGTCCAATAAAACAGAGAAAACCTCACCCTATTAATTAGATTAATGCACATAAACTAGCCCAAAAGGAATATGCACATTACATAACAAGCAACAAAATTAACCAATGCCCATTAAAAAATACACAAAAATCAACAAAATTAACCAATACCCATCAATGAAATCATACAAAATCACAAAAATAACCAACAACCATTAACTTGGATCTAGATATGAATGAATTAAACCCAAAAAAATACTTCAAAAAATAAAAAAAGATTGAATCTTTAATAACCTTAGCAAAAGCCCAAGGATCAGGGCCAAAAAGCTCTTTAATTTGAGGGTATTGAGAGAGGATCTGGCGCCTTCTAGAAGCATGAGGTTCATCTGTGTATGACCAGAAGAAATCTTCCGCCATTGTTCCTTCTTTCTCCTCCCCTCTTCCTGCCCCCATCTCCCCCCTTCCTTTTTTTTTTGGGAATTGGAATTTATTTTTTGAAAATATGTTGATATTTAGCCTTCAAAAAAAAAAAAAAAAAAAAAAGGTGGTGGAACTATATTTGGATAAAAAAAAAAGGAGGGAAAAACGTCGTGAGTTTATATTATAATGGACGAAAAAATAAAAGTATTGGTATGAAGAATGAACAGGATATCACGTTCATCTTTCGCTTTCACTTTCACTCATGTGAGGTGATTTGCTCTTCTCAACTTGGGTTTTATAGCTAGGGATTTTAGGTTATCTTCTCCTTTAAAAAAGTATCATATTCTTTTTTTTTTTTTTTTTTTTTAATTTATTCCATTAGTTTTGTATGGTAATGGTAAGTTGTGGAAAAGATTGGTCTTTTTTATATGTTATTATAAGTTTAAAGTTTACAACTTATATGATCAAAAAAAAATTATAATAGAAATTTTGGGGCTTTTTTTTCCTTCAATGTTGAGAAAGTCATAAGGGCGGATGGTGAATATTGATTCCAATTTTTTAAAGTGGGAAGAAAGTTTTTAACCACTTGAGCTATTCCTGAAATCGAGAGGGATGATGAGAACCTGGAGGCTTGTTATTAGATGATTTTTTTTTTAGGATCATAAAAATGAAAACATGGCAGGTATAAGAATGAGATTTCCATAATATTTTTGTACATGTAACTAGTTGCATTGTTAAGGTCGTATTAATTGTCCAGGATCATTATAGTTTTACCCTCTCTATTTTTTTTTTTAAGTGTGACAAACTAGCAATTTTCAAGCAGCTTATGCTACTTTCTTTGTTATTATAATATTGCACCATGTTGACTTTTACATTATTCACAACGCTCCGTAGACTATCTATTGTAACTTATATATAATGAATGACATAATTGTGAAATCTTGTTAGGATCATCTTGATTTATACTTTTAAAATATAAACTTTTTATAACTTTTATACATTGAGAGTAAACATACTTACGATCAAAGTTGTACATTGGCAAGTCTAAAAGTCAACATTGTGCAATGTTAAAAGAGCAGAGGAAGTATAAACATTATTGAATTAGTTAAAATGTACAGTATATTTTTACTATAGCACCATTTTATATTTTCATTGATACAATAATAGGTATTAAAAGACAAAGTTGTGCACTGACATGTGTGTCAGTTAAAGTGATGCACTTATTTTAAAATGAAAATAGTGAGTTGAATCAAACTTTTATATTTACGCGCTTAATTAACATTTATTTATTTTTTTTAACTTCTGATAAACAAGGTATTGTGATTTGTGACACATCTCGGAGATAATGCTAAGACGTATCTCAATTCTTCGACATATATAATTTAGGATTTTTGGATTTAAAACTCAGATTTTTAAACTTTAATGTGGAATTTTAATATTATACTTCCTCCATTTTTTAATACTTGCAACACTTTCTAAATTAGAAATGTCACAATACTTGCAACACACTATAATTGAAAAGTTATTTTGAGGAAAATTTGTATTATTTCTCTTATTTAAACTACATGGCCCACTAAATTATACTTCTAACATCTCACCCCATTTTAAAGTATATTAAACCATGTGAATCCCACTTTTCTAAAATACCGTGAAAAAAGTGTGTTGCAACTATTAAAAAACAGAGGAAGAATTTTTTATCCTAACCCCATTATTTATTATGTGTAATTTTCGAATTTTTTATATCTCATAAATAATTAACGGAGGTAGTATTAAAGTACTTTCAACTATTTTATATTTTTATAGTTTTTTTGTTTTTATTTATTTTGATGAAACTATTTTTTAGTGATGCAATTCATAAGTTTTGAAATCATTGTAAAAGTCTTTAGTTGTCAACCACACATGTCATTACAATTCTCAAAAAACTTAACTTACATGTCAATCAAAAACGCCCCACCTGGTTCACCACATTCCGATCCGACCCAGGTTGCACACCTGACTTATGGTGAGTGAGTCTCCCAACAAGAGTTTTCTGCATTCGGTGAGGCTCGAACTCAAAACCTCCCTTAAGCGATATCAAGCTACTTACCACTTGAGCCAACTCTCGTTGGTCAAAAACTTAGTGCTTCGTGTAACATATGTTGAAACTCGTCCGATATTTCTCTAATTAATTTATTAGAACTATTGGACTAGCTCTAGTAATCTTAGTCTTAAATATAGTGCACATATAAATTTGGCAATTGGCAAACTAAAAGTCATAAATCTTAATGCATCAAGCATTTGGACTTGATAATGGGCCGAAACACTAACTTGTTCACTCCAAGAAGGGACAAAGGGTAATAAGGCACAAATTCGTGAGATTACACATATTGACATACGTAGTACGAGTATATGTTAATACTAGGTTAGGTCCCGTGCCATGCACGGTATTCTTAATAACTATTTTTAACATTAATAATGAATTTTTCCAAAATATTATACGGAGTAATGAATTTATTATAAAAGCGCCTATAATGCATTTAGTTATTATAAAAGAGTTTATTAGCTAGATATATAGCTATTTTTAAAATACATTTGACAATATGTGTTGTTCATATATTTTTCATCAATAAATTGGTACAATTTTCTTGTTGTTAACCAAATAAATTTCTTAAAAACATTGTACATTGCACTCTGTAGTCCATATGTATGTCACAAATTATGGAAAGAACCTGCTTTTTTTCCCCCTTAAATTTATAGTTGTTACTTATTAATATTTATTTGTAGAAGGATACATCGAATCTTTTATATTAACTACCTTTTTAATATTTGAAATTCAAATTATTTTCTTAGAGGTTTTTAACACATAATTAAATAAAAAAAATAAAATTATTGTTATAATAGGTAGTACATAACATTCTAGCACAATTATTTTAAAAATCTGATTTAATATTTATTTCTTTTTACTTAATTTTATATTTTTCTCAAAAAAAAAAAATAGTTGTCAATGTATATATTATGGAAAGACATATCAAATCTTTTATTTATGTATAATTTTGCGATCTTTTTCATTTATGTATAAGATTTTCCAAATATTTTATTTATGTTTATTTTGCTATCTTTTTATTTATGTATAAGATTTGCTTTCTAAAGATTATTTAAAAAAAATTATAATAAGAGACACACCAGAAAATGACATGTGTTATTGCTAGTGTGTCTTTTAGTATATAGTTATTGATATTATACATTGCAATAACAAGTACATATTATAGAGCTCAAAATTATATCATATTGAAAGAGTAGAATTAGAAGGAACAAACTAGAAGGAAACCATTTATTTATTCATAACTTATACTTCATACGAGTACTTTAGTATTTAGAGCAATTATAAAAAGCTACATGTACGCTTTCTTAAACCCAAGTTCTCAAAAAATTTAATACGGAGTACTAATTAAGCCTTTAATTTGATTGAGTGAGAAGTAGGGTTTATCAAAATTTGTTAAACATTATATATTTCAAAACACAAGTTACACAACTTTCTACATTTCGTCAATCAATCGACCACAAAATTTATATAACTTTACTTTGGATATCTCAAGATGTATGTCAGTTTATTGACCACAAAATGAATATACCATCACTAAGGAATTTGAATCCACTAAAAACAAATAAAAAATCCAAACCAATTCCAAGTATTCAAATTCTATTTGAATTTGGATATTCCATTTACAAATACACCATCAAGCTTATTTTAAAAGGAGGTGCGTGTCATCGCTCTTAATCCCATACACTTTCGCTAGATTGATTGCTTACAATACTTTCAAAACAAATTGATTGATTATAAACTTTTTTTTTTTAATCCCATATACTAGTGTGTGCTGTACTGCTGTGGCCTGTGGGTTATCTTTCTTTGTACTTTGCTAGAGTTAACAAATTTGTCATTGTCACTAAGCCTAGAGGCGAATTACTAGAGTCATAGTTCATTATTTATTACGAGATACTAAATATTTTCTATGCGTTAATAATTATGAAAACACATTGAATTACAAATGACAATATCTCACTTGAGAATGTTTTCTTTCGTAATAGAAGCGTAAATTAGCTAAGAGTAACACAAAATCATACCGAAGCATAAATTACGTAAAAGTTTTATAAAATCATACGCCTATTTTAAGTGAAGAGAACAAGTACTAAACCTAAAGTCCTTAATAGCTTTTGGCCAAACCACCTGGTAAAAAATGTGACATGAAATCTGTACAGGGCTCTCTTTTTGGGAAATATCAAAATTTAATTAAAGCACTTCTACTGAATTAAATCAGGAGTCCTATTTTTAAAAATCAGAAGTTTTCAGATTTCCTAAATTGGAACTATCAACACAGTACAACACATCTACTTCCTCCGTTCTTTTTATCGCATCACTTACTATTTTAGGAAGTTTACTTATTATTGCATCATTTCCTTTTTAGGATAAAAAATATCTATATTTACACTGCAAATACCCAACATACCCTTACTTTTTCACACTTACATGGACAATTTTGTATTTTTACGTTTCTCTCTCTTACTTTTTCCCACTACCAAATTTTGCCTCCAAAACCCCTATGATGCAATAAAAAAAAACGGAGGAAGTATAACTTTTGTATACCCAATTCGTCGCCCAGGACGAATAATTTTTACAGCCTTACACAATATCTTGGTGAGCTCAGCATCATCGGCGGCAGCAGAACTAAGAGATGAAAGGCATGTGATCACAACATAATTTAGGAGTGCCTTGGGTTCCCGCATTGAATATAAACAAAAGAAAGGAGTTCCCCTTTCTTTCTAACCATTTTTTTTTTTCTCTGAATAACAGAGCTGTACAAGCATGTACACTTTTACCTACATACAAATTTACGGAACCCATAAAAGCAAACCACCCCAACCTTCCTTCTCTTGCCTTCAAATAAATCAGGCATGAGATTTAACCACAGAATAGACAGCAAAGTCATTTAAAAGAACATTTGCACTTCTAACTAATCTAACCAGACCAGTCTATAAGCAACTGTTGCGACAGCAAGAATACTGTAGGCTAACCACAGCTGCGACAGCGACAATACTGTAGGCTAAACAGACCATAGTCCTTTCCCTCATTTCAGGTGTGAATCATATGCATCGAATAGGGATTCTGGAACAATCAGGGGCAACTTCTCTATATACATAAACAGCCTCCTAAGATTCTCCTTCGTCAATGTTGTCATGTCAACCACGTCTCTACTGTCGGTGAACACCCAAAGATCTCCAGAGTTCACCCTCTTCAGACTATCTCGGCAAAAGGGGCAGGATTGTGATCTTGAGCGCCTGCAACATGTAATAATCACTCTCAATTCTGCTCTGAAGATAACACAGATGAAAAATTCAAGTGATCAGGGGAGAATATCTATCAAAGTACACAGCAGAGATTATAAAATAACAAGGTCATTCTTCTTAAATTAATTATTTATACAGCCAAATTTCATTTATCCTTTTTTTTTCTATATAAATATAGAGGTTGCCAAAGTTCATTTACATAAATGCCCTTATCATTTTGTAGTAGACTGATAGGTTCACTCAAAAAACCTTCATATACCAATCAAGTCTTTTAACCCATTGACAACAGCAACAAAGAAAATGAGACTCAGAATTGAGCGGCCAAAAAAAAAAAAAAAAAAAAATCAGTATGTGATGATCTTGTAGTTCTGACCATTTTTTTTAAGGATGCCTACCCGGTTCACCAGAGCTTAACTCCGACTACATCCGAATTTGACTCGGATCGTACACCTGGCTTATGGTGGTTGAGTTTCCCAACAAGAGTTTGGGCGTACGGTGAGGCTCGAACCCGAGACCTCCCTTAAGCGACATCAAGTTGCTTACCACTTGAGCCAACTCTTGTTGGTGTAGTATGGTAGTTCTGACCATTACTATACAATATAATATACACAGCATAATTGTATAAATAAGGCACGTTGTGTCGCATGCCACAGATCAAGGAACCAGTGATGGACATCATGGGGAGGCTTGTTATTTCTTAGGGTGGCACTTAATGGCTATTCAAGTGAGATGCTATGAAGTTTCTATTCTATAACTTTTGAAACATCTGGGGTGACCTTTTTGCAACAAAATGGCCTGTGAAATGTATATTGGATGAAGTAATACATAAATACCAGACTAGCAACCCCCACTCCCCCAGGAAAAAATAATAAATACATAAAAATCATTTTGACCATACAAGCTAAATTGTAAAACTTGAAAAACTTCTAGGCCTCAAGATCAGTATACAGGCATTGTTAAGCCCAAGATCCATAATTTAGCTCAAGGCCTCACCATATAAAGCACAATATACCTATATACCAACCGCAACTGGTGTACCTATGTCAGTTTTGTCTGTACAAGTAATTTGGCGATGCACAAGTAATATGCTTGACATAAAAATACTGATTTAAGTACCTCACTTCATCCTCATCCTTGGTTAACATCTTTGAACCATCAAGCGCATCACATTTAATTTACACAGCTTCAGCCTCTTACTTCTAAAGTCAACTCTTAGCTTCTCACATTGAACTGCAATGATACCTTAACATAAAACTGTATAGGCCTATTACTACACAGATGTGCAGCTGTTATGTGTTTTGTCACAGCAAACAAAGGCTCCAAAGAAAAGGAGATCATAAAATAAAAATTATGTTACAAAAGCTAGGCTGCTGTGCAGTCACCTTAATTCAGTTTGAGCACAAGAATCACAACAGTGCCCTTTATGTAAGCACTTGAAGGTGACATACCAAAGCACTTCAATCAAACCTGAAACAATTTCCATGGTAACAAAGAGTTCAAGGAGTTCCAAACCCCAATATAATCAAAAGGCCGCTAATCCAATTCATGTACTTACACGGTGTTATACCCCAATATCAGGCAAGTAGGTAACACTGAAGTAACCAAGTAGAGGACAAAAAAGCAGCCATCTCCATCTACAGAATTATAGAGCTCCCTAGCCTAGACTCCCTGCTCCCTACTACTATAAGCACATATTCAACCACTTTCTGGTAGTATACTTAAAGCTTAATACTAGAAACAGCTCTAGGTTATAAAAGAGGAAAAAAAAATCCACTATAGGCGCAAAGAGATTACCTCAGCATTGAATCACGGGCTAGGCCAATCTGTCCATTTCTTGACAGGCCAAAAAAAAAGCATTTTTAAATTTTTTTGAAAAACTACCAAAGAAAAGCTATACCTCTATTTGATAAAGTCAGACAAAAATGGGAGGGTTTAAAAAAAAAAAAAAAGACCAGTCAGACTTCCAACAAGCAGCATTGATGAGCACTATTTTTCAGCACAATAGCTCTAGTTCTCCAATTGCACTAAAAAAAAAAAAGTTCTCTTCACCTCTTCCCTTTCCCATTAGTAGCAGTGGCACAGCATTGTCAAAGCCATGACCTAAATAAAGCAGCTAAAGGAGCAGATATCCAATTTAGCAGCAAAAACTCTTTCTCATAAATACATGATGTCATGATCCAATAAAACAACTTGGCAACAGAATCAGTAAGACATACTCCACCCTTGATCAAGATCAGTTAGCAACCTCTAATAAGATGAATTCTCCAACTTTAGAAGCTTGAAAAACACCTGAAAATAGCTACTGCCCTTATCTCTTCCTTATTTCCCTCTAACATCTAGCATGCAATACCTTAAACTGACATCCAAGTTATCAACAAACATCTTATGCTGACATCCAACAAGCATGCAACAAAAATCAAATTCCTTGTACAAAATTCCAGAACAAAACTGTCACCCTAGGATATACACAGCAAGGCAGCATGCCAAAGCAGCTAACCACTGCTACAACTGGGAAGATATAATATACACACAGCCTAGACATACCATCAAGTCAGGCTTGTTTCCAACAAAAACTTTAAAAGACCAGGTTGCTTTGGGAGACCTCAATGCCCTCAATAAAATAAGCTAATGTGAGAGGAAAAAAGAAAAGGGATCAACAAAGATATGGTCAAGGAAAATAGAGATTATCTCAAGAGAAGTTCCAAGTGTAAATGTGGGTGAACACAGGACACTGAACGTACATCATTTCTATAATACAACAGATCCACCAAATGAGCCTCACCATCAATAGACAGAGAATTAAAAATAACAAACCCTCCATTCACAAATTGACAGCAGGGGTTCTGACCTTGACCGATGTAGCAGAATGCACCATCACCTATAAAACCTTTTCTACAGGGGAGGGGGGAAGTGGAATAAAATACTCAGTTTGGGAAACATTGATGGTTTTGGCAAAGAGGATGAGGATGTGCTAATATTTGCAAACTATATGTTAAAAAATAAAAAATAAAATTAAAAGTTTGGGCCTAGAGAATTTCTTCAAGAGAAGCAAGAACTGCAGCTGTCTTAAAGACGGACTAACATTGAAGGCTTCACAGCTGTTAGATTAGCTGGCTAGACTCTTATCGGAGGTTCTCAAGAAATCAAATTTTCCTTAAAACCCTCCAAGAGAAAACTTTGAACTTACCATTCTCGATAACACTTTAGACACATGACATGGTTGCAATTGGGCAGCACAATTTTGCTGTAATTCTCCATGCAAATACCACACTCTTCCTCTCTTTCAATATCCATATCTGTATACTGCCTGTATTCCTCTTCATCTCTTTTCCGATATCTCTCCATGCAAACAACTTTTTGTTTTTTATCCTCGGTATCAGTAACGCCACTTTGAAGTTGTAATAAGGAGGGATATATTACCGCTGCCAACCATAAAGAACATGTATCATACGAAAGAAGAGGTAGCAGCTATATCTGTGGCTCAAGGCTTGCATTACACTAAACTAAAATAGCACACCTACCATAAAACTCTCGGATACTTGCTTTTCTTTCATGTGTTGACATGGTAGTGGTGCCATCCACATAAACCTGCATAGAAAGAGGGGAGCTAAGCAACAAGCTAAAACATTGCACATAACATTAAACAGCTACTCCGTAACAAACAATTCAGAAGATTGATAGCCAACCTTATAAATTAGAATTCTCAACAGACCAAGTGCCCCTGCCAAGTTGCAATCGGTCCACTGGACCAAGAAAAGCAAGAAATGGGCAGCAGGAGCGTATGACATTCTCATCTGAAGGCAAGCCCCATCATATTCTCTAGGGAATTCTGATGCCCTGCGAAAACAAAAACAAAACAAAACAAAACAAAAAATCAAATAAGAAAAAATATACTTCGTATTTGTCAACCTAGCAAAACATAATACTTGAACTTGGTCAACTAAGGAATTTGCACCTCTCACTATCTTTGAAACAGTAAATGACCACAAAAAGATAGCATATTAGCATAATGCTGAAGATAATCCGACAGTTGAATAGGCATTAACAAGCATTACTAGCTATAAATCCATAATAAGTTAAAAGTCCAAAACCAAAAACCACGGCTAAACCCATCATTAAAATTTAAAACTTAATTTTACACAAAAACCAGTTTCAGTGATATTGATCATAATCACAATATGTAGTAAGTGTTATTGATCATATTGCTCAAACAAACACATGCTCTACCACTCCATTCCAATAAGACTACAATATCGAAAACTCTAAGCAAATGCAGATTAAACTCCACAAACTTACCACAATGGTCAGCATTATAATTGCACAATTAACTTAAACACCAAACATTTCCGCGATAACACCATAAGTCCATAATTACTAAACTTCAAAAACAAATCTCCCATGTCATTATCCTCAACAAACCCACTTCATTGAAAGTCCAAACAGTTAGGTACGTGGGGTATACATGAATAACTCAAAAAAATGAACATCATCATCATATTATCCTTCACAATTCATCAAACCGACAGCTCACCGACCGCACCGTCTCACAAATATCTTCTTTCAGGAAGTGAATTCGTTGTTAATTGTGAAAACTAGTAAGTTTAATCAAAGTGAATACAATTCACAACAAAGTGTTGATCAAAAGGTAAATTTTGTAACCAAAAATACCATAAGAGCTGATTAAGAACAATCTAAATCCCACAAATAATACTACAGTGCACTAAGATAACAACAATCCAGTGAATCACAGCTTTTGGTTAAAGTCTCGGGGGTGGTGCCTATTGCTAGGACCTGGAATCGAATCTCGTCTATTTATTTACATCACTGTCCTTTTTTTACACTCAAAAGCGAAAACATCAACCCAGAATCATAAGATTCATAAGGGTAACTGGAGAATCAATAATCAAAAAATCCCAAAAAGGAAACTTTATCCAGATAATTCAGATAATATATATTTTTTTTTTTTTGTTTTGAAACCAGATAATTCAGATAATATTTTCAAAATAAAACGATTTTCTCAAATATTATAAATAAAAATAATAAACTAATTGTTGATGGCTTACAGAGTATTAGCATGTTGAATATCAGCTTCTAGAACTTTCAGAGAATCCTTGAACGACTTTCGCATGGGAGAAGCCACATACATTTCTTTAATTTCTATCTCCTCTGTTTCTTCTTTCAAACCCTCAAATTTAACCCCAGAATAATAATAATTAAAAACAAAAACAAAACAAAACCCAGAATTTCACCATCAAATTAAATTAAATTTGAACAAACCCATCAACTAATTGATGATTTTTAACCAAAAAATCCTTCAATTTGAAAAAAATAATAATAATAATAATTTCAATTTCATAAACCCAGAACAAAACCCTAACAAAAAGTACACATGAACTTTTGTTTCTCTCTCCAGAATTGAATGAGGTTTCTCTCTCTGAAAGAGAAGGAAAGCTTAGCCCTTTTTCTGGGTTCTTCTTTGAACTTCTTTTTAATTTTGATTTTTAATTTTTTTTTTTTTTCCTTTTTTAGGGAAAAGGTGGATGATGTTAGAAGTTGACAAGTGGAATTATGCAATAAAAGTCATTGTGAGGTTTTACTCAAGAAAATATTGTAAACAATAATTATTGATGTAATAACAATAAAATGATAAAGATAAAATTGATAATGATAATACTAATGAAAAAATAATGATGAAGGGTAAATAAATTAGTAAAATAATAATGATGGATAATGATAAAATGGTGGAATTGCCTTATCCAAACCTTTTGGTATGTCAAAACAAGCCACCCCACTATTTTAGTGGCTTGGTTTTTAGCTTATCTTTTGCTTTCAAGAGCTCCCATTGTTGACTTTTATTTGTACTATATTTTTAATTTCTAGGATATAATTTTCTTTTGGAGAAATATCTTAGACAAGTGGTGACTAGGATATTTTTTATTTTTATTAGTTGTGAGACTTCAAATAGTTTTATGCAATTTGTTATTCTGTCAACATAATTTGTAATTATATTTTCATTGAAATTCTTAATTATGTTATTGTACGGAGTATTTTATTTTGGTCTATTCTTATCAAAAAAGTGTAAAGCTTACAAATTTATTTTGAAATAATGACTATTGTCGAACTTGACTAGAGGTAGTAGTTTTTTATTAGTGAAATGGAAAGTCCTTAAAACATTTTTACTTTCACAGACGTGACATGAGGAATATGGATAAGAAGGATAAAAATGTGAAATAATAATAGGGAAATTGGTGAGTTAAGTTAAAACATGTATTATCTCATATTTGGTATGAGTTATGAATAAGAATGAAATAAGCAGCAAGGTTTATTATTTTCATTAACAACATATCCTTCTTTCTCTCATCCTTTAATTTCCCATCCTTGTTATCTCTCCCTATACCGTGCCATACTACCACTCCTAGTTATAGGATTTGAGAGAGAATCATAATATAAGGAGGGATCTTTTCCTTATGACCCTATCCTCATCCCTCCTTTAATCCCTATCTCCATTAACATACATTACACTTATTTTATCCCATCGTCCTTATCCTATCTTTTCCCTTTTATCACTCCCCTTTGTTATTTAAAAGTGAAAAGGATTTCAATTTTAGTTAGAGGTGTTGGTAATAGACATAAATGAGAGTTGAGTTGTTATCAATTTGTAAGAGTAATATAGTGTAATACAAATACTAGTATAACTAGATGAATCCTTTTATAATTCCACTCATTCATGAACAATAATTTACTATATTCTTTAACTAAATTCATCGAATATTATACTCTCATGCTCAAGAATCAGTTTTCTTTTTATAAGAGCTATAATCACTTATATTGGCTTTTAGACCCCATATTGTAGGATGGCGGTTCGTTCGAGAAAATTCTACCTCTAGCTCTATCTATCTCTGAGATGTTTGGATTTTTCAAAACTCCATGAACATGCAGAAAAGAAATGTTATTCCCATTCGGACCAAGACATGACTTTTACTTGTTCAAATAACAAGTAAGGTGAGCAGGGTCAGGAACAACGAATCTCTTTTCTTTATGATATCTATCTATTTGGCAAGTTCGTTATTACGGGAGACATTATTGGTAAAACCCTCATTAATTAACATTTGTGCTAAATTACCATCGTTTAAAGTGATACACTTAAAAAACTCAAAATTATAAACTTATGAATTAATATTACTAGGTAAATCATTTAATCATTAGTTCATACATTATTATCCCAAACTACAATATCTTCTTAATAGTTAATACTAGCACAATTGCACTCGGCTAGTCGGCAAATTAAACATACAAAGCCATGAGTCATGCATGCATGCACCTTTGCTACAGCTATTCTTTGGATCCACCAAAACCATGAGTTGCCCAACCAACCACTCGCAACTCAAAATCACCGCACCGTTTAATCTACAACTCATCAATTCGCCAAATTAAACTAGACTACAATTACCTTATTATATTCATACTACAGTTACATTCATATTAGCCAGTGTTACAATGGAATAATCTTCTTTCATTCGATTTAATTTGATTTCCAAGGCACTACATTATTTTTAGTAGTTGGGTTGTAAATTACTCTATCATCATTATACCACCATTTTTTCGGGGGCGTTAGAATTATTAGGAATGCTAATTGGATCATATCATAATGAAGCACATGCATGTTTGATGCTAATTAGAATTATAAGGACCCCGGGCTTTAGTTAAGAATTTAAAATATTTCCTAAAGTAGTATTAATTTAGGAAAGTATACCAAAATTACGCGTCAATCTGTATAATTAATGTTTATTTTAGTTCAATATTTCTACTTTTAGTTATCTTATACAACGCTCCCGGAACGTTCGTTAGCTTTTGCCTTAGTATTTTAGGAGATAAAATAAGGGGTAAAATAAAAGAACAGGTTGATAGATTTTCAAAATTTAGGTTTATTACTAATTTAAAAATCATTATAAATACGATATTCTTTATTATAAAATCCATTCAAAAACTATTTTACAAAATTCAAAATACTGAATATTCTTTAACAACTACGAGTACATTTTTTTTTTAATGGCATCTTATTCAAAGATTAATAAATGCTTTTCTCAAAAATAAAATAAAATAAAAGATTAATAAATGCAAGTCCAATTAAACAAGGAGGATCGAGAATATACTAGATAACTAGAATACAGGTATACAACGGATGTTGCGGTTGTTTTTTTTCCTGACGCTTTTTGTGACATAATAAAAGTATACTCCCTCCGTCCCTTATTTTTTGCCCCATTGTAAAAATATGGGTCAAATTTTTAAAACTTTGACCATGAATTCTCGTTAATCTATAGGTGATAATATATTAATGTGCGATCTTGTTAGAATCGTCTTATTGTATAGTTTATTAATATCAAATTTTAATAATTTTTACTCGTATAGAAATGGAGATATATACGTTTGAAGATGCATTTTGGAGACCGTGAAAAATCAAATGGGGCAAAAAATAAGGGACAGAGGGAGTATACTACAAGTTGTTTCCAAAAAAAAAAAAGTATATACTACAAGTAGTATTTTAGACGGATTTTTAAAACAAATTGACGAAAAAACAATAAATATTCGAAAACAGGAGTTCATATAAACTTGAAACCAGAAGCGCAGTTGGTTTAATTTAGGATTAGAGTAGGTAATGAGATAAAATCCGACATTTTTGGATTAATTTAGTTGTGGGTGGTAGATAGCTCAGCACTAAGTACAAGCACATTAAGTCATTAAATCACTTAATTAATTCCAATTTGTCTTTTTTTCCTCAATAAAAATTCCAGTTTTTCCGGTGTCTAAATTTTTATTTTTTAAAATCCCAAATTGTCTTAGTATAATGCACAAGGGTCTCTACTACATTGTTGATCTTCTTCATTTAATCATTCTCTCGACTATTAGATAGAGGGGATCAACAATTCGGGTCGGGCCGCAGTTGATCAACTCTAGATTGCACAGAAACGGGAAATGAAAACGGAAACGGAAAAACCGGGAATCGGGGAAACGAAAATTTTAAAATATTGGGAAACGGTGTCACGAAAAAATGAATAAATAAAACCCATTTTAATTAGAACAAAATACCAAATTGTCAGAAATAAAAACCAAAATATTAAATAATAATAATAATAAAAAGGTATTAGGTGCGGACTGCCGCACACATAATTACGTGTGGCAGGTTTGGCTGATATATTTCATTTGTTGGCTGATATGTTTCATTTGTTGACTGATATGGTTTTCGTGTTTGCTAATATATTCCTTTTGTTGGCTGATATGTTTTTTTTTTTTTGATATGTTGCTTTTGCTAGCTGCTATAAGACATCAGTTGGCTGATATGTTTTTTTAGTTGGTTGATATCTTTATTTTGTTGGCTGATATGTATATTTTAATTGTTGACTTATATGTTTTTATTGTGTTGGCTGATGATATGTTTTTTAGTTGGTTGATATCTTTATTTTGTTGGCTGATATGTATATTTTAATTGTTGACTTATATGTTTTTTTTTTTTTGATATGTTGCTTTTGCTAGCTGCTATAAGACATCAGTTGGCTGATATGTTTTTTTAGTTGGTTGATATCTTTATTTTGTTGGCTGATATGTATATTTTAATTGTTGACTTATATGTTTTTATTGTGTTGGCTGATGATATGTATCTTTTGTTGGCTGATATATTTCATTTGTTGGCTGATATGTTCCTTTTGTTTTGTTTTTTTTTTTTTTTTGGCTGATATACTTTTTTTGTTGGCTAATACGTGTTTATTTATGTATGATATGTTCTTAATGTTGACTGATATCAGACATCAATTAGTTGATATGTTCCTTTTATTGGCTGATATTTGTATTTTGTTGGCTGATCCACATAATTAAACATTTCAAGTTAAACTCATCAAAAAAGAAAAAGTCAGGGGAGGAGATGGAAGTAGAGAGAGAATAGGAGGAAAAGGAAGCAAAGAAAGGAGAGAGAAAGAGTGTCGCTCAACCAAATCGCACCACCAACCTCCAATGAATCCTCTGGCTTTCTGAAAAACGCCTAAAACCCTCGCAAAACCCCTCCAATACCCATAGCATCTTATTCATTCCTACAAGGGCTGCAACTCCTTATCAATGTAGCTTCGTAGATTACTCACTCATCATCGCACCTCTTTCTCTCTCTTCCTCCATTCTCGCCCAATCAAAACTCCGCCAGCAGCAAACCACCGCCACCACTAATCGAACCTGCAAATCGCCACCAATCGAGCTTGCAAATCGCCACCACCAATCGAACATGCACCAATGAGCTCCAACCACGACCCCCTGCTCAGCCGCAGCAACACAAGAACTCCCCTGCTCCCATCTTCCACGCCACCAACCCAACAAAGCAGCCACCTGCTCGCCACCAACCGCAGCTCCAATTCCCCTGCCTCACTCCCCTGCCTACTCCTCTCACCTTCAATTAGCCACCAGCACCAAAGTGAACTCCACTAGCACTCGCAAATCGCACCGCTTCAAGCATCATGA